TTGTCTTTTCGTGGCTGGTTTACAGGTCTTTTGATCCAAAAGAAAAGAAAGACAGTGAAAGGTCTTTTTTTTATGCTTAAAAAAAAAAACGAGAAGGAATATATACCACTATTGGTTTTGCAGTCTCAAACTTTATCCAGATTTTGAAATGGTAAGAGAATTTCTGGGATTGAAACTATAACTTGGTTCATATACCAACCAAGTTGAACCAATACAACTTGGTTCATATTGTCATTTGAAACCAATCGAACTTTAAAAAAAAAAAAGAACTTGGTTCATATGTGATTCAACCAACTTGAGTGCAATTCGATAATCTTTGATGGATAACAAAATGGCTTTATATACATTAATAAACCTAGGCGAGTATTGCATTTAAAATGAAATCTAAATGAACTTTTCTTTGACAAATGTGAATAACCCAAATTGAAATAAAATTAAAATATAGCTCTATTACTTCTGAGGACACAGTGCATATTTGAGAAATGTGCACCTGAGGACACAGTGGACTCTTTGTTATTAGTGAACCTAAGACAAAGTGTTGCAATTCCTTACAAATGCAAAGACCTTTTGCAAAGTTTAGAATACAATGTCAGTTACTTATTTTCCTACAATGGTTCAATGTTTCGTCAAGTGTAGAAACACAGTTCCAATTCCAAACCCATTTCCCAATTTGACGCCATCCAAGTTCCTATAATTTACACCTACTTCCAGATTCTAAGACCCTTAGCGCATCAAAGACGAGACAATTATTGAATAAGGCCTCGGAGTTCTTGACATCCTTCATGCGCATAATTTATTTTCCATCCACTGCAACTACAAAGACCAGACCTCAGATTACAAATTTTCCATCCTCCATAAGCCTTTGAAAGAGCTGGCATTTTGGCAGTTAGTAGTGTACCAGGTAAATGAGAATATAACCTTTTAAGTCTTATGATGCTTTGCCTGATTCCATTGCTCCAGTAAACAAGTAACACCCTCCTCCAAGGTAGCCTTCCTATCTTGTTTAAAGTTCCACAGCTCTGAGGAGACGTACCTTCCACTCGGGTTGTACTCGTTTATCTCCAGCAATGCATTTGCCACCGATTGGTACGCATCATCCCCCAATTCATTCTTCAGGGTTCTTAACTTCTCGTCATCCTCATCTATTACTTCCTGAAAAAGATATCAACAGCTTCAGGGTTCTACATTACCAAACACCAATTCATGAACCAAGTCCAACATGCATCAACAAGTCTGCTTATGTGGATTGCAGTTGTACGCATGCACATGAATGGCAGGTCTTCTGCTGGTAATACTTGAGAATCATACTATTTAGAATGGAAAATAAAAACAAATTGATTTGGATTAGTGATATAAAGGAGAAAGAATATATACCACTATTGTTTCTGCAGTCTCAAGCTTAATCCGTTTGAAAGGATGCCAATCTGGGTCCTTAAGATATTCCTCCCAGAGCTGGATAACTTCAACTGCCCAATCTTCTAGATCTTCTTTACAATACTTTCTTCTCATTGCTTCCATGAACGGTTTGGTGTCAAGCTCCCCCATTCTCCTAACACCAATATGCGATCTCATGTCTCTCAAATTCTATAAATCCAATCAAGTTAAGAAAAAAGTGATTAGAGGAAAAATAAGTATTGTCTTTCCTATCGTGAATGCATCCAATCACTCTAGCCTACCGTGTCTAGTATCATCCAAGTTTATAATAATATAATCTCCCTATATGCAAAGAACAAGTGTTCGAATATAATAGATATACATACGCTTATCAATCCTCTTCGAGCTTCTTGAAGCTCATCATTGCTCTTCCGCTCCCGTACAACAAGATCTTGATTAAACTTATTTACGTGTGCAAGCTCTCCTTCCTTCTCACTAAGGTCTCTGAGGAAGGTCTCCACCTTGTTCACAATTTCGGTACCACTGTCAGATTCCATGACCTTCACCGAGCTCAACTGTATTTTCAGTTGTTCGACCTCCAGTTCAAGCTCTTGTTTCTGATCAAGCTGTCTTTCTAGTGCAGCAATTTTCTCACGAAACTTTTCCTTTTGCATCTAAGGTTAAAAACATTGCAGTACCTGTCACATAAAGTTAAAGAGCCAACCTTGTAAAGAAGGAAGTATTCCCAGACCTTGTGATCAACAGCCAATTTTTTCATTTTCTCTCTTGTCCTTTGTTGTTCCACAGCAGCAAGTTGAATGTAACTATATTTAGCGGCGTTCTGAAAATAATGCCATTGAAAAATATTTAGTAGAAGACAGAAGCAATCCAGAAATTAGTTAATAAATGAGCACGTTAGCATATACCTGTTCAAGCTCTTCTGCCACTATTTTCCTCTGCGTTTCATTCTCTGCCTCACGTTTTGCCAACTCCAATTCTCTAATTTCAAGTTCCTTCATCTGAGACTCCAGCTGCAGCTTTTGCTTTTCATGATCGGCAAAGATCCTATTGAAGTGATCAGTTGATCTTTGTTGTCTTCCCGTCAGATCTTCAGATGCAAAATGGAAAATGTAAAACGAATATAAACACAATATATAGGCATATGTATAGCTGGGTGATGCAACAAGACCTTCTCTAAGGGAATGTGAATCTTGAAGCGAGAAGGAAAAGCACACCTTCATTGTAACCATGGAAAAGCTTTTCTTTTTCTTCAGTCTCATACTTTAGTTTAATTGAAGTCTTTGAATATTTTTCCTCTAGGTTCTTTAACCGATATTGATTGTTCTCAGAGATTGCGTTCAGACGCTGCAAAAGCTTTTGGTCTTTCTTGGCCTCTTCTTCTGCAAACCTGGAAATACTTTTGAGGTCACCCATCTTCCGCAAGTTTTCTCCTATATAGTTAGCTCTATAGTAATCATCAGCATTGGCAAGCCATGCATAAAGGCTCGAGTCAGCAACACCACACAGCCAATCCTTTTTCCCATGACCATCTGCTTGATAAGCCTTCTTGAACAGCAAAGCATCTTGAAGTCCATTCCAGTCTCTGTTAAATTCCACTATTCCGGTTCCTGAATGACCGAAACAGTCCCACACGGTACGAACTCTAATGAGGTTGAATCCTCTTCGGATCAATTCATCCTTAATTTGTGATCCACTCTCACCAGTACAAAGCAGACCATCTTGTGTCATCGTTGTGGGAATATTAACCACAATGCCTATATCCCAGCCATAGACACAACTTCTGTTAGTAGAGGCTACATATCCACATAGCGCTAATATGATACTCGTAATGACATAGGAGATAAGCCTTAACAAAAGCATGTGTCATTTATTACCTTTCCAAGGCCACACAAGTTTCTCGAACTGATCATCACAAACTAGAGGAGTATCGCCGGTTCCAGCAGGCGAATATGATGTTGGAGCTTTCAAACGCTTGGATATTGTAGCGTAATCTGCAAGATCGTTGATAAGGTACTTGGCAAGAGCACGGTGGCTAGCCTTCTCTGTGACACTTCTTTTCTTGGAACTGCTATTACCAACTCCAGAAGCATGCTGAAGGATGTCAACATACAGACCAACCCTCTTCTTTTTGTGAGGGCAATAGGGACACAGAAAAGTACGGTATGAGACTTTCACCTCGAGTTTTCCACTCTTGAGTTTTTTGTACAAATCGTTTTCAAAATTTGTCATTTTGT